GCGCAAGGGGTTAAGAAACAACCTGTGAAGCTGTATGCAGCCACTGCAGCTCAAGTTTGATCCCCTGGCCAGGGAGCTACTAACAGGGCGCAGCAGACCTCTCCTGTCTTGCCTGCTGCTCTCTCAGCTGTGTACTTTAGTCCATCTGCCTGTTCTGTTCCCCGCTCTGTCTCTGGTGAGTCCTCTCACCCTCCACACCTCTGGCCTGTAACCCAGTTCTTATATGCATAAATAAATAAATCTTTAAAAGAAAAAAGATAAAATACTAGACAAAAAGCAATGTTGGGAACAACTTTAAACACTCAAAATAGTAGACTAATGAATAAATGGAAAGGCATGACATGTTCTGAGGGTCAGCATCATAACAGGATTGATTTTCTTTTTTTTTTTTTTTTAAGATTTATTTATTTATGCATACAAGAACTGGGGTAGGGGCCAGAGGTGTGGGGGGTGAGAGGACTCACCAGAGACAGATTGTAGAACAGAACAGGCAGACTGACTGAAATACACTGCTGAGGGGAGCAGCAGGTGAGTCAGGAGAGGTCTGCTACACCATGTGGGTAGCTCCCTGGCTGGGGATCAAACTCATGCTGCAGTGGCTGTGGATAGTTTCATAGGTTGTGTCTTAACCCCTTGCGCCCTCAGGGAGGCCCCAGGATTGATTTTCTTAAATCAATTTTATCAATTTCACTCAATTAGATTTTGTTTAGAACAAGACAAGCTGATTCTGATATTCATATAAAAAATTGTCAAACAAGAGGTACCAAGAAAATATTGAAAAAGGTATGCAATCTTGAGGGCCTCCCCTGGTGGCGCAGTGGTTGAGCGCTGGGCTGTGAGGCTGCCCTGTTAGTTCCCCAGCCAACGGCGAGGGTCCCCCCCCCCAAAAAAAAAGTATGCAATCTTGGAGAGAAAGCAAAGGAACTTAGCTCCACTAGAAATTAAAATGTTAAAAAGATTTCTTTAGGAGGGATTGGGGTCAGAATGGGGGGGCTGCAATTGCATGGGGAATATAAAAATAAAATTTATTATTTAAAAAAAAAATAAAAAAAATATAAACATGAAAATAAAGTCATACTGTGGCTCAAAAAAAAAAAAAATGAAGGAAGAACAATAACAATAAACAACCGTGTTGGGCACTGGGTTGGGTGATTTCCTCTTGTCATCGTATTTGAACCTCCTAACAATGCTCTGCAGTGACCCTTCTCCCCACTTTATTGAGAAGGGAACTGAGGCAAGGGGAGGTCAAGTCTGTGTGCAGGGCCACTCAGCTGACAAGGGGCACGTGAACCTTTGTTGATTTGACTGCGGCCCACCCTCAACCCCCAGGTGTATGGGGACACACTGCCCCCCGGGAGCGAGAACCTGGCTGACAGGTAGAGGCCTCCAGATGGGCAAGGTTTGGTTATTCGGAGCACTTTCTAGAAGTCAGAAGTGTTAGATTGATAGAATTAACTGCCTCATAAAGTGGTCTGAACCATGTGGCAGAATGATCCAGGAGGATCTGTGTCATGGGCAGGCCTTTGGACCACAATTATCCAGTGGAATCCTATTTAAAAAAATAACTGGGGCAACCTTGGAAAGAAAAAAAAAAGGAGACAAGCAGCAGTGATGCTTGCAGTGTGTTTCAAGACCAGATGTGTTTCTATGGCTGCTGGAAACTCCTTTGATGCCTGTACCTCTGCATCTCTCCCAAATATTAAAAATCCCTGAAAACCGGGTTTTCTGGCCCTGTTTCCATGACAAGTTGCCAGAGGCTGGGAAGTGTTGGTGGGCATTTAAGGGACCGGGGGTTGAGGAAGACTGCTATTGTCTACTCACCTCCAGGCACTTGCTTGGAGGGCCAGCTTGTGCTCACTTGGGCTCTCCTTCCCAACCACCCCCTCTGGGGTAGAAACTGTGGGCACCCTGAGGGAGAAAGGAAGCATCAGGGGAGGTTGCCAGCCTGGTCCTGCAACCAGGCAGGAGCTGCTATCTTGTGGGACTGAGGATGGCAGTGGTGAGGAGCCTCCCCACCAGCGCCTGGAACTGCAGCCACCCAGAAAAAAAAAAAAAAGAGAAAAAAAAAAAAAAGAGAAAAAAAAAAAAAGAGAAAAAAAAAAAAAAAAAAAAAAAAAAAAAAAAAAAAAAAAAAAAGAGAAAAAAAAAAAAGAAAAAAAAAAAAGAGAAAAAAAAAAAGACATATTAATAAAATTAATGTAATAGTAAGTGAATAGAGAGATTAATGGGAAAGAATAGAATATCTATAACTGTACCTATTGTATGTACCCAAGAATTAGATAGGAATTACAGAATATTTTTAATCTATGAAATGAAAGCAGCATTCATGCAAATACAAGTTAAAACTATATTGAAATACTGTAATGGAGTACTTTTTTGAAAACCAACAAATTGGCAAAAATTCAAGTTTTACAACACATCCAAAATTCTTTGGGGTGATGTGAATTGTTTCAATCCCTTGAAGTCAACTTGGTAATACTAATTATAATGATGAATGCAAATACCCCTCTGACTCAACAATTCCTCTTTTGAGTTTTATATAACACATAAACATATTAAAAAAGATGTATGTATATATGAGATTATTCACTGCAGCAGTGGTTTTCATTGTAAGTCATAGGGTACTGGTTAAGAATTGAAGAGCCAATTGCTGGAATACACTGTAACATTAAGGAAAGAATGAGGAATGGTACAGTGTATTGATATTAAAGGTCTTCAAGATATTTGTCAAGTGGAAAAAAAAGTAAATCACATATAAATGTATACAATATGTTATTGTTTCTGTAAAACTCTAGAGGAAATCATCTATACATGAGTTTGCTTATGTATGCATAGTAATTTCTGGAAAGAGATAAAAGAAGTAATAAGTGTGTGTTACCTATAGAAGATAAGAGGATTAGATGGTAAAGTGGAAGATCAAGATATTTTCAGTTTTTTCATTTTGAACCATGTGTATGTTTTGCCTGTTTGATAAGTAGATAAATAAACAAGTGTACAGTCATATGTACTTATAAAAAAAGACTGAGGATATACATATTGATAGGGGAAATCTCTCTTAAGGGTGCTAGATGACTAAAACAAGGCATGAAATAGAATTTACAACACAATGCTTTTTTTTATTGTTATCACAGTAATTATCATCTTTATTTTATTTTTTTTGAATAATAAATTTTATTTTTATATTCCCCATACAATTGCAACCCCCCCCATTCTGACCCCAATCCCTCCCCTCCCACCCCCCCACTCCCCAAAAAGTGTCTCTGGTTCATAGTTTTTTGTTGATTTTGATTTTCACTTTCTTGTAGTTATTCATTTTCCTGGTCCCTTATTTAAGTTTTCTAGATTCCTGCTATGAGTGAGACCATCCGGTATTTTTCTTTTTCTTTCTGGCTTATTTCGCTGAACATGATCCTTCCAGCGCCATCCATGTTGCTGCAAATTGCATGTGTTTATCTTTTTTGAAGGCTGAGTAATATTCCATGGTATATATGTACCACATCTTCTTGATCCAGTCATCTATTTTTGGGCATTTGGGCTGTTTCCAAAGCTTAGCTATTGTAAATAGTGCTGCTATAAACATAGGGGTGCAGGTGTTCTTTGGAATTGATGTTTCTGTGTCCTTTGGGTAAATACCTAGGAGTGGAATTGCTGGATCATATGGAAGCTCTATGTTTAGTAGGTCCAGAAATCTCCACACAGCTCTACATAGTGGTTGGACCAGTTTGCACTCCCACGAATAGTGCAGAAGAGTTCCTTTTTCTCCACACCCTCGCCAACATTTGTTGTTGCTAGTTTTTTTTAATATGTGCCATTCTCACTGGTGTAAGATGGTATCTCATGGTAGTTTTGATTTGCATTTCCCTGATTACAAGAACAACACAATGCTTTTGTTGAAAAAGAGCCTACTGTAAGACTGTTTAGTTTTGCTTGTGTCTGTATGAAGAAACTCTGCAAGATACTCAAGTTGGTGAACGTTGTGCTCTGTTGACAGGGCACAAATTCCCTTTAGGAATGAAAGATTTCTTGCTCCAGGGGCTGGAGGGCTGCTGGCAAATAGCCTTCAACCAACAGCTTCTAAGGGGATAGATTACAGTAATGCCCTCTTCCTGGGTGGTACACTCAATGTATGATCAACATGGGGCTAGGAAAGATCGGCTCCCTCGTCAGACTCAGGACATTCATGAAGAGCCATCCAGTTTCAGAAATTCCCTTTCTTTTCTTTTTTTGTTGTCTTAATTTAATCAATTAGTTAATTTATATAAGACTATTAATTTTTATTGAGGTAATGTTAGTTTACAATAATGAGGGTATAGGTTCGTACCTCTTTAGATGTATGTTAACACATCACACCCAGTACCAAAGCACCCATAATCACCCACCGCAGTTTGCTGGACCCTTTCTCAGTTTGTTCCACACCTCTACCCTCCCCCTTGGGTAGCCTCAATTTTGCAGTCAGATCCAAGGATTTGCTGTGATTTAGTTTTGTCTATTTCTTTGTTTTGTTTCTTCATATTCCACATGTGAGTGAAATCATATAGTATTTGTCTTAATCCTATTCCTTTTCTTAATACTGCATATTAGTTTACCATCTCCCTCCGTTTTGTATTCCTTCCAAAAGAAGAAAGTGGTCCTAATATACCCCCTTCCTGCTAAGTGTCTGCTTCTTGGGGAGCCCCATGGGTGGCAAGAAACCAAACAATCATCTCCTGTGGTTGAGTCAGGGTGGGAACCAGGTAAATGGACACAAATTTGGGAAGGACACTTTTCAATTTATGATTTTTAATAATTAAAAAAAATTGGAATCATGTGGATGTATTATTTAAATCATGAAAAAATGGTAATATCATACTTGATATGTCAACAATAATTTTTGTGCTTTTCCATATATGTTTATAAAGAAACTTTTTTATACTTTAATTTAGGGGGAGATATTTTTCATCAAAATGCTCTGCCCCACCATACTCTCAACATGCTTTTCTTTTCTGTTTGTTTTTCTTTAGGATCTACAGAGAATCTTCTCCTTGACTTTACCTTACAATGGAATTTAAAAAGTCACCTGATGGTGGATGGGGCTGGGTGATTGTACTGGTCTCCTTCTTTGTTCAGTTTTTGTGTTATGGATCTCCGTTAGCTGTTGGAGTCTTGTACATAGAATGGCTAGACGCCTTTGGAGAGGGAAAAGGAAAAACAGCCTGGGTCGGATCACTGGCAAGTGGAGTCGGTTTGCTCGCAAGTGAGTAGCTAAATGTATGCTTCCTTTTACTTGTTAATTTTTTTTTAAAGATTTATTTATTTATTTATACAAGCACTGGGTACAGTCAGAAGCACGAGAGGGTGAGAGAATTCACCAGAGCAGGGAACAGAACAGACAGACTGACGAATTACACTCCTGAGGGGAGCAGCAGGCGTGGCAGGAGATGTCTGTGTGCCATGTGGGACCCTCGCCTGGTGGCCGGATCGAACCGGCGATGCGGAGGCTGCGGGCAGCTTCGCAGCCCAGCGCTCAACTGCTGCACCACCAGGGAAGGCCCTTACTCGTTAATTATTCAATTATATTTGCTGCATCATTAAATGCAGCAAATGTACAATGCATAGGTGTCTATTTTTTTAAACCATAACATATTTTCCTGCATTCGCTGCGATTACCACAATCTCACTGTAATAAGTATGTGTGAAAAAATAGGAATCCATAAGATATTCATCCGTTTCTTTGCTACTATGAGCTAGGTAGTGTACTAAATATTGGAAATGAAGATAAGTAGCAGACATATCATTCCTGACCATAAGAAGCTCATAGTCTGAGGGACACACCTATATTTCCACGAGTAAGAATGGAATACAGGGAGATGAAGGCTCTAATCCAGGTATGCCCAATGAATACTTGTGACTAAAGGACCATATGACTTTCAACAGGACTGTAAACACTTGCAGTCCTATATGATTCATAATTATTCCTCTGACTCAGATGCACCATAGTCAACTTGAATGGCCTATATTTGTGTTACCGTCATAAGAAAAATGTGACGTGGCAAAGTATGGTCCCATGTCACAGTAATGATACTATTAAGGATTTTAATATATCAACAGTGTAGTAGTATATACAAGACATATTTAATATATTCAATATTGCCTCCTTATAATGCTTTCAAAAGTATTATTAGTGATAAACATTTACAGATGATGTAATAGTGATTCCTATCTTTATTTATTAAAATCATAACATTAAGATTAGGACCCATAGTTTGAACTTTGCAGTAATATTTAATGATCATCAGTCTAATTCACTTGAAACTATTTAATCCCACCTCTACTAATATTGTAACCTAGCCCTGGGTCTCTTCCCATATGTGAGAAGCTTAACATGATTTGGGGAGCAATAACAATCTCCATTCTTGGGCAAAATAAGGACATTGAAAGTGATGATTTGCATTGTATTAAATGTGTTGTCTTTCTTGATCATCAAAAGGCACTGCTTAAAGCAAACAAAACAAAACTGTTGTTTCTAACTGATGTATTACCTTGTTAAGTTATAAACAAGACTTGAAGAACAATGCTAGATCATCTGGCTGTGTCAGATGCAATAACTGACCATAATTAAACAAATGAAAATAATACTGTCATTATGAACTCAGGAGAAACAGGAAAAGTTTGTCCAAGATTTATTTGAAAGAGTTTTTCAAAATGTGAAATGTTTGTAAGCTGTCAAAGTACAAGTGAATGATAATGATAATTGATATATTAATAAAAGACTTTGAAAATACTGATTTCTAAAAAAATATATAGTATGAGGAGGTGATAATTTTTTAATGTTCTCTAATTAATCATCATTCCTATTAACAAATAGTAAGTTAAGCAGAAGTGTGATTATCTTACCTTCCAGCAAGGGTCAAAGGGTAATTGAAATGATTTCTCAGTTTGCACATACTCAGAGAACAAAGCTTCTTTTCACAGTCAGTCCAGGTAGGAGTTGAGAGTTAAGGGAAGCTGAGATCTCTTATTGATGGATGGGACATTGGTGGCAGAGACTGAAAAATGAACTGCAAGTTACACTTCCTCCAGATTCATAGGTGCATGATCACTGTCTCAAGAGCGAGGGCATCACCTTTCACTTGTAAGCAGGACCAGTTGGTCCTACATAATTTGCAGGCACCACTGCAGAATGAAAAGGCAGAGCCCCTTGTTTTAAAAAGTGAAGAACAGCAGAACAGTAGGTCAAGTGTATGACCCGTGTAGACTGGGCCCACTGTGACTGCATAGGTTGCAAGTCCACGAAGCTAATTTTGCTTGTAAGGTCTGGAGAGAGGGAATGTGCCACCACATATATTTGTTCATGGGAGAGAACAAATAGATGGGAGGAGCATTGAACTGAAGTCAGAGGCTCATTCGAGTCCAGATGCCACCACTTTTTAGCTGAGTAACCTTGGGTAGTTACTTAACTTTGGCTGGATGCAGAGACACTTATATCAGCTAATAAAAGCTTTTGAAGAATCATGATGCCAAAGAGTTCAAGAATGAGGAGGTAGTAGGGAAAAAATAATGTTTGAAAAGTTACCATGTATATATGTTGGGTGTGCACGCACCCTCACATATTTTATTTGGTGTCCGCTGAACATATGTGATGTTGGCTTCCCTTGACGTTTCATAGCATAAATTAAGGCATAATCCTGACAACTATGGTATTAGCAAAAAGTGTCTGGCAACATATGAGCCATAATAACCCTCTACTTTATTGACAATTTTTTTTTCTATAGAGGCAACAAACAGGTTGAAACTATCTTAGAAATGGAAAAAGTTTATCTCATGTTAATAACCCAAATGGTTATCAGTGTTTCTTAACCAGAGAGATAGTTAGAATCATCTATAGAAAAATTCTAACCTATAATTGCCTGGATTTGACCTTCAGACTTTCTAATTCAGTGGTTTTTTGATGGAGCCCAGACATGTATTTTTTTAAAGCTCCAACTATCTCTGGCTTAAGCTCTTTCTTAGATTTCAATCTCATACTTCTTGCTAATTCTCGGAGATATGATTTGCTCAATTTATTGATAAAGAAAATTACTGGGCCTCCCCGGTGGCGCTGCGGTTGAGCACTGGGTTGCGAAGCTGCCCGCAGCCTTTGCAGCGCCGGTTCGATCCCCGGCTGCTCCCTGGCCACAGGAGGAGGGTCCCACATGGCGCGCAGACCTCTCCTGCCGCCCGCTGCTCCCCTCAGCAGTGTGCTTCGGTCCTTCTGCCTGCTCTGCTCTCCGCTCTGGCTCTGGTGAATTCTCTCACTCTCCCGTGCTTCTGACTGTACCCAGTGCTTCTATAAATAAATAAAAATAAATCTTAAAAAAAAAAAAAAGAATCTTCTTAAAAAAAAAAAAAGAAAGAAAATTACTGTTGGTTTTGGCTTGAGAATGGCACTGCTCGTGCCATATAATTCATGAAAAATAAATTGCGTCCAATGACACTGCTTTTGACAAAAAATACAAAAATGGATATCTTTACCTCCTTTTTGTTAAAAGATGATTTATACGTATGTATATACATATTTAAACACATGGTTGATTTTGACAAAAGGTGGAATATATATGTTTATATCTCAGTTGCTCTTAAATTTGAGCATGTATATAAATCACTTGAGCTTGTCTAAAAGCCAGTTTCCTACTGGAATGGTCCCAGAAATCTGTATTTTAACTCCTCAAATGACTCTGAGGCAGACAGGCCATGTCATACCTGGAAACATCGGTTATTTTCTTTACCCCCTTTTATTTAGAGAAGGTATTGTGGGTGTGTCCTTGACCAGTTCTGTAATTTGACCACTGGAACTTTGTAATTGATCAGGACACAGTAGAATAAATACATTTTCCCTGTACTATAAGCCTACCACAGCTTCAATGCACCCTCCTAGCCATCCCACCATTTTTGGGACTCTCTGAAAACTTTCTGGAAGAGAGAAATGCATAGTTGATTTAGATTCCAAAAATAATCTTTTCCCAAAGTTATCTTACAATAATTACAAGCTGGAAAACCATATTGTGTTTCCAAAAAAATACATTTTGGAATGTATTTTCATTCCTTTATTAGATATAACCATACTTCACCCAGAGCAAGTTTCATTTCCTTGGCCCCAGATACTCTTCCTCTTCTAAAATCATAAAACACTTGACTGGAACCTTTCTTGCCCGTGACCTTAGGTTTTAAACTCTTGATGTGTGTTTCTTTTGCTTTCTGGTCTAAGGTTCTGGATTGTGTGTGGTCTTTTTTGTGTCTTCTGCCATATGAGATTCCCATGCTGTGCTGTCCCATAGAATGATCAGGTGGCTACTGAGCACTGGAAATGTGGCGAGTTTGAAATGTGTTATAAATGAAATAAACACATATTCGATTTCAAAGACTGGTACAAAACAAAACAATGTAAAACAGCTCATTAATGATATTGAAATGATATTGTTTTGGATTTATTAGGTTAGCTAAAATGCATTCTGAAAATTATTTTCACATATTCTTCTTTCTTCAATGTAGTTACTAGAAAATTTAAATTCTGTATGTGACTCACATGTGTGGCTTCTTATATTTCCATTGTGTAGCACTGCTCTAGGGAACATTTGGTAAATAAGGAAGGAAGGACAATGATCAAATATTTACTTTTTTGTTTAATTGATCCAGACTATGTTAATATTACTAACATACTCTTTAGTGTAAGGGGTTTATTCTTCCTCCTTGCTAATTTTAACAGTCAAAAAAAAATTTCACTGTGTTGTTTGTTCCTAAGTTACTCTGAAGAGCTGAAGGAAACAATTTCATAACTTTCTTATAGAGAATTCTGACTTTTTTCTTAAAGATTTATTTATTTATGCATACAAGAACTGGGGTACAGGCCAGAGATGTGGGGGGTGAGAGAATTCACCAGAGACAGAGTGGGGAACGGAACAGGCAGATTGACTGAACTATACTGCTGAGGGGAACAGTGGGTGAGTCAGGAGAGGTCTGCTGTGCCATGTGGGTAGCTCCCTGGCAGGGGATAGAACTTGTGCTACAGTGGCTGCGAATAGCTTCAGAGGTTGCCTCTTAACCCCTTGTGCCAACAGGGAGGCCCAAGAATTCTGACTTTTTAAAAAAGATTTTATTTATTTATTTTTGTGTAGAAGGTGCAGGCTAGAAGTGTGGGTGGGGAGCAGAACAGGTTGATCTACTGAAATACACTGCTGAGAGGAGCAGAAGGCAAAACAGGAGAGGTCTGTTGTGCCATGTGGGTTAGCTCCCTGGCCAGGGATCGAACTCAGGCCCTCGAGGTGGGCCTTCAAGGTAGTAGCACTGAGACTTAACCCCTAGGCCACCAGGGAAGTGCAAAAATTCTCACTTTCTTAGAACATCTCATTCTTTCCGTTTTCTAATTTGCACATGATCATTACAAAACACTTTTGCAGTTAGTTTTCATTTCTCTTTTTTATTCCCCTCAATTGCTGAAAAGTACATCAATTGGTATGATTTGCAAATGGATATTATTAAATTATTTTTTATTTGTTTTATTTTGTATTTAAGGGGCTGCAATGCTCAAAATCCTATCCTCTTTTTCCTTTCTTCATGCCTTATTTTCACTTGTAAGTTTATTCCCTAAAATAGTTTCTTACCTTTTTTGAGTGAATGTATCAGCACTGTGTCAAAAGTGTTGCCAGGTCCCTACAGCAGAGTAGAGTATTTATGAGAGAATACGGTGTCTCTTAAGAGCCTTGCATATCCTTCTAGAAAGGATAGGATTGTTTATCTTTTTGCACCACACATGCCACCTGCCATCCTTAAACCTTTCTTCGTTAGCTGTCAATTCTGCTACTGAACATTTAGCTCAGGATTTTCAGTTAACCCAACAGTCAAGATTAATCTCCCAAACAGAAGGTAGCAGTAGTAAAAATGTCTTCCAAACACCAATGTATATGCAGCTGTAAGTTCAAGAAAAGTTTTCCCTAAATGTATAATTAATGTAAAAAAATGATATGTAGTGTGTATGTGTGTGTGTGCCTGGATCCCACTGTCTCCTTATTATCTTACATTTTACTCTAAAATTATATCCTTCTCACTATTTCCTTATTAAAAGTTTCCTTCTTTAATGACAGTGATAATAGACAGTTCATTCATTTTAAAATGGCATTACTTATCAAAATAAAAAATTCACAACCAGATGATAAGGTTCTTTTCCCACTTTTTTCTAAATATTTTAAGGTCCCAAGGTATGGAATCCTGGGTTCATGTTAAGAGTTAACAAGCTTTTGCTCCAAAGTCTCTTCCTGCAAAATGAAAGACCAGAAGCATCCTACAAAACATTCCCTTAGGGCAATCCCTTGATTCAGTTCATCACTTGAAACCAGTCTTGTGATGAGGAATAAGGTAGAAACACCCTGGTTCTGAGGATAAGAATAAAATAATTTTCTCTAAACTTTTTTTAATGCCAAAATGTGTATGAGTAACACATTTTCATCTGCCATAAATTCATAAAACTACTTGAGCTGAATTAATTAAAAGTACCTTGATGTCTAGAGAAATGTATGCACTGACCGAAATACTTCACTCTTGGGAAAAATATTAGACTGTCTTTGACCTTAACCTTGTTATTTATTAGCTGCAGACTCTTGATCAAATCATATAATCTTTCTGAACTCCAGTTCATCATTTTAAAAATGAGATGTTGGACCATTTCCAAGGTCTCTTTTAGCTATGAAATTATTTATCTTTAATCTCTATACCAATACATTTTTCTCTAAGTAAGCAGCAGATGGCAGTGTGAAAGTGGGGAATTTATTTTCATTTTATTTTTAAAGGTTTATTTATTTATTAAAAGTTTATTTATGCATGCAAGAGCTGGGGTACAGGCCAGAGGCATGGGGGTGGGGTGGGGTGAGAGGATTCACCAGAGACAGAGTGGGGAACAGAACAGGCAGACTGACTGAAATACAGTGCTGAGGGGGAGCAGTGGGCGAGTCAGGAGAGGTCTGCTGTGCCATGTGGTTCAGCTCCCTGGCTGGGGATTGAACTCATCCTGCAGTGGCTGTGGACAGCTTCATAGTGTTGCCTCTTAACCCTTTGAGCCACCAGGGATGCCCCTATTTTATTTTTTAAGTAAATATTGTAGATTATTATAATTTTTTAAAATGAGGTAATGTTGGTTTACATTGTTGTTTGAATTTTGGAAGTAGAGAATATGCCCCTTCATGTGTTATTACCATAGTGCCCCTTTCACCAAAGCACCCATAGTCCACTAGCATTGTTTATCATGTCACCTCCCCACTTTGTTTTTACCCCTCCCCTTCAGGATTCCTCAGTCTATAATCAACTTTCAAGTGTTAATTTTTAAATTTGGTTTTATCTGACCCTTTGTTTGGTTTCTCTATAAGAGACACCATCGAGTATTTATATTTCTCATTCTGACTTACTTTGTTTTTCACAATCCTTTCCAGCTCCATCTATGTTGCTGCAAAAGGCATGAATTTGTCTTTTTTGATCCCTGAGTAGTATTCCATTGTGTACATATACCCCATCTTTGGAACCTGGCTCTGCCACTTATTATCAATGAGATTGTAGGTTGATTACATCATCTTTCTGTGTGTGGTTACTTAAAACAATTTATTATTGAAGTAAAAGGTATGTACAGAAAAGTGTATTATGAGAGTATCAGTTGGTGAATTTTTCACAAACACCCATGGAATAAACACTTTCACATCCAGAAACAGAACATTAGCCTGGAATTTGAACTGGGCTCCCTTCTAGTTATAATTCCCTACTCCTTTCCAACGATAACCACTATCCTCACTTCTAACCATAGATTAGCTTTGTCTGTTTTTGTTCTTTTTATCATTGGCATTACACAATGTGTACTTTTTTGTGTTGGGTGTCTTTTTCTTCACAAATGTTTATGAGATACATCTGTTTTGCTATGGGTAGTAGTAGACCATTCATTCTTATTGCCATATAATAGTCCACTGTAGGAATATGCAGGAATCTACTCACACATTATACTGCTCATGAACATCTGAGTCTAGTTTTTGGCTAGTATGAATAGTTCTGTTATGAACATTTATTTTTATGACATTTTGGTGTAGGCATTTCTATTGGGTGAACACACAGAAGTGGGATTCCTGGGTTATGCAGTATGTTGTGCTTGACTTTAGGATACAATGTTTGAGTATTTGCTCCACATCTTTCCTAACCCTTACTATTCCCTGTCTTTAGCTCTCCTAGCAAGTGTGTTTTTTATAAATTGGGAATAATAGTTTGTATCTTGAAAGATTCTTGTCAAGTCAAAAATTCTTGTCAAGTCTTGTTAAAGTGTGTTATTTTGCTTCCGATTGATGACTCTTTGTACCATGGGCTTGGACAACCTCTATGAACTTTAATTTCCTTCCATGTAAATGAGACTAGTAGGCTGAATAACTCTTAATGTCCTTTTATTTTAAAAGACTAAACTCTGTGGTTATACACACTTTAGGTAAGGTGTAGTGGGAAAGAATTTCACTCTCTCTTAAATCCTATTATATGAGCAGTTGCTAATTATGTATCTAACAGGTTCAGGTAATGGTCACGTCTGCTTGTCTGTTAATAGAATATTTTCTCCCCTAAACTTCAGGTTACACATGGAATATAGTGCTGTACTGACTCATGTCTAATGGGTACAGTGCTCCTCTACTTGACCCCACCTCTTAGAATATTCTCTACGAAGGTAGTAACCCACTCTTCCCTTCTCGTCTATCCTTTGGGGCACTATAAGCTACATTCAGTTTTCAAGTTGATTTCATAATCACTTGTATGAATGGCCTTGTGCTGGAAAGGAGCTGTTGGTAGAAAAGATTCATGGAACACACAGGAAACAAAAATCCTCAGAATCATATGCTGGTTCAGCAGGTGGGCTGAGGAATGAGACTGTTGGGTTTTTACTTCTTCCTCTATAACTACTGTGGTGGCTGCTGCTGTTGCCACTGTCATGTCTGCAGTAATCGGGCACTTACTTGTACCAGGCCTTGTGATCACCATGACATCTGTGCAGTTACTTGCCCTCTCAGTAGCACTTTGAGGTAGGTACCATTATAATTCCAATTTTCAGATGAGGAAACTAAAACACAGATCAATTCAGTTGCCTGAAATCAAACAGCTGACAGGTAATAAATAGAACTCACATTTGAATAAAGTCTGACTCCGGAAGCCCTGTTTCTTAACTATGTTATCTCACCATCTTAAAACTTTAATTCTTGTTAAAAACTGAGGAAAACATGGGCCTCCCCGGTGGCGCCATGGTTGAGCGCTGGGCTGCGAAGTTGCCCGCAGCCTCAGCAGCACCGGTTCAATCCCCAGCTGGTGAGGGTCCCACATGGCACGCAGATCTCTCCTGCCACACCCGCTGCTCCCTTCAGCAGTGTGCTTCGTCAGTCTGCCTGTTCTGCTCCCCGCTCTGGCTCTGGTGAATTCTCTCACCCTCTTGCACTTCTGACTGTACCCAGTGCTTGTATAAATAAATAAATAAATCTTAAAAACAAACAAACAAATAAACAAACAAACGAAAAAAAACTGAGGAAAATGATAGTGTCTATCCCAAGGCTGCAGTAAGATTTGGGTGTAATGAGATTGTTTAAATGAAGCACCCCACATAGTGTCCAGTCCATGGTAAATACATGGTAGATGTTGATGATTGTTGTTTTTATTTTATGATTGATGGAAATATTTTAAACTTATGATGGATCATATAATTGTGGAAAGTAGGCTATTGTTAAGTAAAGAATGTGTCCTTTATTATTTTAGGTCCTATCTGTAGCCTCTGTGTCTCATCTTTTGGAGCAAGACCTGTGACTATCTTCAGTGGCTTCATGGTGGCTGGAGGCCTGATGTTGAGCAGTTTTGCCCCCAATATCTACTTTCTGTTTTTCTCCTATGGAATTGTTGTAGGTAAGAAACCTGGTACTACCACTTTTCTAAGCATCAAGAGTTAAACACTGTTACATTGGTTTATTATTCAGTTAATATAAGAAGTGAAAGTGTTCAGTAATAATTTACTTTCAAAGACTCCATCACCAAAAAAAAAAAAAGTTGCTTTAATAAAATATCCACCCATTGAATCAACATATTTGAAAGAATAAATATGTTTTAACATACACTTCATGTTTTCTTGTAAGGTGCAGGAAGGCTTTTCATTTCATCTTGTCTCTGTAGCACAAGAAAGGGAAAGCAGTAGGGAACATGAAACTTGAGTGCCCCTGACATCTGTCACTTAGGAAGTGGTCCCTTTCATACTGGGGGCTGAACAGGGCACTCTGGAGCTGTTTATGTTCTAAACATCCTGCTTTTCCACAGCATCAGTGTCAAAGACACAAATCATAAATTCATAGCAGAGGTAGAAAGGAGATTTTAAAGCTCTTAATAATTTGTGTAAAGATAAGACATGAATGGAGAAAATTGAGTCATGGGGATGACTAACGACGTGATTACAGAGGAGGAAAAGCATTGCAGAAAGGGCTTAGGGTTGAGAGCACTGGCAGATTTGGGGGAATGCTTTTGTGATGTAGCACACTCATTGTATTCAGTGTTAACTATCACCAGACTTGTATTCTCAGGAACTGTTGGTAGGAAACTTGAAAAAGATGATTCCAGGTTTGAGGTTTCTTTTTCTTTTCTTTTTTTTTTTTTTTTTTTTTTAAGATTTATTTATTTATTTATACAAGCACTGGGTACAGTCAGAAGCGTGAGAGAATTGACGAGAGCCAGAACAGGCAGAGGGACCGAAGCACACTGCTGAGGGGAGCAGCGGGAGGCAGGGGAGGTCTGCGGACCATGTGTGAGCAGCCAGGGATAGAACTGGTGCTGCAGGGGCTGCGGGCAGCTTCGCAACCCTGTGCTCAACCGCTGCACCACCAGGGAGGCCCCCAGGTTTGAGGTTTCTTTTTAGTACCTGAAAGAACCTAATTTTGTTGACTATCAAAAATCCACTTTTTTACTTTTACATTGAGTACTTAATGTGTATTAGCCTCGGTGCTTTGCATGATCTTATTTAACCTTCACAAAATCTATTTTACAGAGAGGGAACAAGGAAGCTTGGAGAAGTAAATTCAATAACTAAAGGCTTTTAGCTCAGAGACATGGGTTTGAGCCACTGTGACCCAAGAGCTGTTAGGTTCACACTTTTACAATTATTGTTAGTGCTTTTATTTTAGTGTTTCTTAAAGTGTGTTTTACTTTAATTACATACCCCAATGCTACTCAATTTTAATCTAAATGAGTCAGTCACTTGTTAGATTTTTGAGAGCAGGTAGTATATATTTGGTAGTTTATATTCCCTATAGTGCTTAACATTGTTTGAATCTATGGGTGCAAAAATATTTATTTTTGGTATAAAATTTTAGAGTTTTCATTGAATAAAATTTTGCATTCTTGTCTTAAATCATAAAAATGAAAACATAGATATTTGTATATATGTATGAAAATTCCATTATTCCTTTTAGGACAATACCCTTTTTATGCAGAAAATTGAATCATTATGCCTTTAGTAGGATTTGGGTATTTCCCCTAAACTGTGGACTACACTTTAAAATTTTCATGAGATTTAATTCCTACACATGATTTCAAGGTTAATCTAGGTAGGGCATTTGTGAGTATGTATCTAAATTTGTCACTACTTAAAAATTGATGAAAAGTGAGTTTATGCTACAGATTATAGATGAAAATGAATTTTTAAAAAGAAAAAATGTGTTTACATTGTTTACGATTTATATACATGTGATTGTGTGGAAGAAAAGCTAAGGATGTATAGAAAGAAAAAGGCCATATTAACTAACTCCCACAGCTAAATTTCAAATTTTCTAGAGCAGTGGAAAGAGCTTTACCAACCATGAAATTGATATTGATTTGGTTAATTTTTTTAATAGCCAACCCTGTCCCCCTCTTCCATGAACCCATCATCTCCAATTAATTACATAGGATTTAATATTGGTCTTGATTTACTCATTTGGCTCATGGTGGTGGGCTTACCCATTTCTACTTGGCTCTTCTTCCTATAAAATCTTTTAATCAACTAGCCTAGGAATATTTTACGAGTTATACCAACTACCATGTGTGTGTGCTCCAATTAAATATCAGCAACTGGAGGAATGATCTTTGAACTCAGTGGACTCACTGTGAACCAGATCTGGACCATGATCCCATACATCACCTGACACCCCTCCCATCCCCTATAAACCTACTCTAAAGGGAAATCATACAAATGATTTCATACCTCTGGTTAACAATGCTTCATACCCCTGGTTTACAATGCTAGCTCACATCTAGTGTCCAACCATACTTAGAAGGTATCCCACTCACCCTAGTGTACAATTGTCTAAATAAGTGGGCATAGTTCTTTTGGGGGAAAGATTCAGGGTATCATTATATACATATTTGCCACAGTATTTATTGAATGTCCCTTTCCCTGGAATCCCACTTTCTCTTTCATTTAATGGATTCTGGATCAGAAAACATACTCAGGTCTGAAGACTACATACTACTCTGATTTGGTAATAGGTTCTAAAACCTGCTGCTAGGAAGAAATTGACAGCTTATGGAGAGAACACTGGGATTCAGGTCAGTAGACATAGGTTCTGTGACCTTGATCTCCATGATTGACTATCCCCCTCATCTGTGAAGGCAGACTAAGAAATCTACCTCACATAAGTTTTATGAGGATTAAATGCAGTCAAGCAAAATGAAAATAAAATGAAAATTAAAAATTGAGCAGGGTTTCAATTAATAAAAATATTGCTCACTCTGGTAATTATTAGGCCCTGTCAATTACATCTTGTTAGCAGATTATGAACACTTTATACCATAGTGGATGTCTTTGTGGTTTTTATTTCATCAGTACGCTTATGATATAGGGCTTATAAATATTTGTGGCATAAATAAATGTGATAATAGTGAACAATGACACTTCCATTCTATCACCACTTGAAGTAGAATATTCAGTTGAAAAGGAAAATCGTTACACGGTCTAAACTCATTCTCTTTTCTGTATCATTAGTTCATTAAAAAAAGAGAAAGATTTGTTCTAGTGATAACATTCATCAAACATTTATTCTGTCCACAATTGTAATTCCAAGCAATTTCATTTGTCTGGAATGAAATAGATAGTCTCTTAAGAAAGACAGGCTAGTTCAGGGAAGAACAAGTACTAACAGGCAGGCATGCAGGCTCTGGGGTCAGATCATGTGGGTTAAACTTAACTTATTCACTTATCAACATGATGACTCTAGACAAGTTACTTTTTTTTTTTAAATTAAATAAATTTTATTTTTATATTCCCCATACAATTGCAACCCCCTTATTTTGACCCCAGACCCTCCCCTCCCTGCCCCCCACCCTCCATAGAGTTGTCTCTGGTTCATAGTTGTTTGTCGATTTTGATTTTCACTTTCTTATAGTTATTCATTTTCCTGGTCCCTTATTTAAGTTTTCTAGATTCCTGCTATGAGTGAGACCATCCGGTATTTTTCTTTTTCTTTCTGGCTTATTTTGCTGAGCATGATCCCTTCCAGCGCCATCCATGTTGCTGCAAATTGCATGTGTTTATCTTTTTTGAAGGCTGAGTAATATTCCATGGTGTATATGTACCACATCTTCTTGATCCAGTCATCTATTTTTGGGCATTTGGGTTGTTTCCAAAGCTTAGCTATTGTAAACAGTGCTGCTATGAACATAGGGGTGCAGGTACTCTTTGGAATTGATGTTTCTGTGTCCTTTGGGTAAATACCTAGGAGTGGAATTGCTGGATCATATGGAAGCTCTATGTTTAGTAGATCCAGAAATCTCCACACAGCTCTCCATAGTGGTTGGACCAGTTTGCACTCCCACCAATAGTGCAGGAGAGTTCCTTTTTCTCCACAACCTCGCCAACATTTGTTGTTGCTAGTTTTTTTAATATGTGCCATTCTCACTAGTGTAAGATTTGCATTTCCCTGATTACAAGTGATGTTGAACATTTTTTCATATGCCTGTTGGCCATTTGCATTTCCTCTTCAGAGAAGTTTTCTTTTTAGCTCTTCTGCCCATTTTTTGACTGGATTATTTTCTTTGTTGTTGAGTCTCATCAGCTCTTTGCAGATTTTTGTGATCAGTCCTTTATCATTAGCGTTGTGTGCAAAAATGTTCTCCCAGTCGGTGGTGTTTCTCTTTGTTTTTGTTATTGTCTCATTTGCTCTGCAGAAGCTCTTTAATTTGATGTAGTCCCAGCTGTTTATCTTTGCCTTCACTATCACTGCTTTGGGTGATGTGTCTGTAAAGATGTCTTAGATGTGCAAATCACGTAGTGTTTCGCCTGTATTTCCTTCTATGTATTTTATGGTTTCAGGTCTTATTAGACAAGTTACTTAACTTCTGTTTTCTCAGTTTTTACAGTGAGCATCATAATAGCATTTACTTTATAAGGTATCGTGGATTGATGAGATAATGCAATAAATATTAGCATAATTCCATTATCACTTGTTTGTACTTGGAAAATCATTCAAATATATCTGACCTTCCATTTTCATTTTTTATAAAATGGGACTAATATGACTTCACAGAGATACTATGACTATTCATGAGATAATATATACATAGAGAAGTTTAATATCTATATCTTCTTCCTTTTAAATTCTTTTCAGAACTCTCAGACCTCAGGAGTTATTTCTTGCTATAGAACAGGTTTGCTTCAATCAGAAATACTTGTGTAACAGACTGAGAATATAGAAAAGAAATTAGTGTTATATAGGTGTTTAATTATAATATAAAATATCAAAAATATTGATAAAATACTGAGTATTTTAATGGCATAATTTTGATGGGGGAGAAACACATTCATAGATAGTCTGATTCTCCTATCCTTATAATGGCAAGTGAGAAAGGTTATTTCATGCATGGTGCATTTTGGTAGTTAGAGTTTT